ACTCTTTTGCTATGCGTACTCCCCCTTTTTAGGGCTAGTCCATAGGTTAATTCTGCCATCTATCCCCCCCTTGGGTAACGGATGGCCTCCGCAGCGTCCTCCCTATCGGGATTGCACGCTTCCCAACGTACTGTCGTATTTCCTAGAATTATCTAGATGCTCACGACTTCCCAAAAAATATATCTAAATCCGTAAAACTTCTGTTGAAGTAGGATAAATTAGGGCCAGGGACACGTTGGAGGACCGCGCCCCCCATGATGTGGGTGCGTCACGCTTGCTTGACTATCTCCTCATCGGGGGTGTTGGTAAGGTGCAGTCATTATGGCGCTTTCCATATTCTCCCATTCATGGCACTGAAGTTCCCCAACCGAAGGGGAACGTTCGAGGTTACAGAAGTAACCCTTCGTTCCCCGAGGAGGGGAACGGAAGTGCCATATTCCGTCGCCATAATGACTGTCCCTTAGCTGTTTGAAAGTCTCTTCAGCTTAAAAGGATGGCGTCTGCTGGCTTCAGGTGTGCTTATATGCTGAGATAATTGCAGATGTCGCACACCTGCGCAAGCTTACGCTGCCAATTAATTTCATTCATTGGCCCGTTCAATACTCTCCAGATAAGCGGCTTCTGATCCGAATCCTCCCATTCATGGCACTTCCGTTCCCCTCCTCGGGGAACGAAGGGTTACTTCTGTAACCTCGAACGTTATCACAGGTAATAGACTCAGTGGAGAAAATGCTCGTGTCTGGATCCACAAGTATTGCTTTGGCATCCGAGGAGAGGAAAAGTTACCTCACGAACATGCCAACGGGTCAAATGTCCAAAGTGAGAGAGAGAGAGAGAGGCAGAGATGGAGTGTTTTTTTACACCGCGCAAAGGAAATGAATGACATCAGTACAGAATAACTTATGATCTATTACTGAACCGATATCGAATTGTCCCCATTTGCATCGCGGTGCACCGAAGAAACCATTAATTTTGACACCTCTATTGAACAGATTCAGGAAACTTTCACAGTATTTGCTCTAACATTTTTTCTTCTGGAGAAAGTCTTATTTCTTTTATTTCGGCTAGAATAAAAGCAGTTTTTAAATGTTTTAAGGCATTTTAAGGTCAATATTATTCGCCCCCTTAAGCTAAATTTGTTTTGGATTGTCTACAGCAGGGGTAGGAAACACGCCCCCCCAAAGTTTGTCCAATTTCACTCGATTTTCACTGTCACTTCAGAGTGAAAGTGAAACTTGAAATGAGCTGCAGTAAAGTCGAAAAAATTAAAGATGAAACAGCCAAAATTACATGAGCCGCTGCAGGAAACATGAATAGCCTGGTGACACAACATTCAAAAAGCACTTCACCTGCCTGATAGTTAGAAGTGGAGCTAACGTTAATCATGTTCCCTCTAGTGCAGTGATTCCCACTGAATGAAACCTACATTATGATTAAATGATTAAAACTTTAGTTCGGTGTATTCACTGTCTGTGCTGCTCCCTCTACACTTGCGTAAAAACCATAATAAAACCTGTATCATATATTTTAAACAGCAATATTTAATGATTGTTAAAAATTGTTTATTGAAACAATGTGTATTTTGTGTGTGTGTGATCTGAAGTAAATGGTCCTGTGGTGTTTGTACTGTATGATAAAAGGATTATGTGAAGCAATTATTCTGCAAATGCAAGACTTCTTTAATTAAATGAATGCAGCAGTCAGAGCGTTGAACACTGGAGAGTCTGTGTTAAAAGTAGTGACTGTTGAAGCCTGGTTTATACTTCTGCGTCAGGTGACCGGCGTGACCCACGGCGCATGCAATGCGCGTAGCTGTGCATTTATACTTCTGCGCGCTGTCTCTGTTGGCTGGCATTAACACTTCCGAAACGCTAGTTGGCAGTGAGGTGTTTATGTTCCTCTGTGTCACATTTCTTTGCTGATGTTTTGCTTTTCCTGAACACTTCCGGGATGTACAAGTGGCTCAAACTCGCTCAATTTGAGGCAGGAACCGGCGGACGTGCAACAACTTTAACTATGAGGTAAACACACAACAAAACCTTCCATCCGGAGCTACTTCACGGGACTCCACACTTGTAAATAATCGCTCTATCAGGCTCGCGCTATTCACGCGGCTCTTGGTCCCGCCCAGACTCGTCAGCGCTACCAAGCCGACCAATCACAGAGCTTGCGCTACGCGTCATTGCGAGATGTAGTAAAAAATTTTTAAAGGTGCACGTCAGCGACACCGACGGCTACGGCGTAGGGCTATGCGTCAATGCCGTAGCATATGCGTGCGCTTGACGCAGAAGTATAAATCAGCCTTTAGAGTTTTGTGTCTAGAGTTTTGAAAATTGACACCATTGTTTTGAAATTTGTGGCGAAACAATTGAAAAAAAACTTAATTGATTTTTATGAAATTATGAACTGATGTAGCATGACTGTGAGAAGGTGTTTCTCAACAGGTGTGTGTGTGTGTGTGTGTGTGTGTGTGTATGTGTATGTGTGTGTGTGTGTGTGTGTGTGTTCGATCTTTTCGCTTTTCCCTTTAATAGACTCATTCATCATGTCTGCTCGGGGTGTCTTTTCTCTTTCTTTTTTTTCACCTTGCAAAACCTTTCAGCTCTGCTGTCTGTTTTGTTTCTCCTCCATTATTCAACAAGGCCAGTTTCCATTGATTTATAAATATGCCTGACATTGGCTTGCTTTGCTGTAGGGCTCGCTGGATTCCCCTGTTCCTGGATCAGCCCTGTTTGGAATTAGTAAAAGCAGTATCAGCACTAACTCTTATTGAGCATCTGCTTTCACTGACATTTCTGCCAGCTGAAGCCTGACTCTGAGTTTCATTTTGGCTGAAGTGTTTACTAGATTTAGTTTTCTATCAAAAACTCAGTGGTGAAAACCACTTTACATTTTAAGTAGAGTAAAACCTTCCATGTACAGCTTCACAACTTTATATTTAATGCATTTGTGCCTTTATTAAGAATAAAGCAAAATCCTGAAGCAGCCCCAGATAGCACAGACAGCTCATCTCTTACCTTATGCTGTGCGCTTCAGGGCCATTCTCCTCTGTTTTTGAGGTGATGTGCATAAGTAATCCTTTTATATGTCTGACGTGCTCCAAACACAGTGAATTATGTTTGATCAAACAAAAGAATAGTGAAATATGAACACAATGATCGCTCCCTGTGGCTTGTACAGCACCTCTCATCAGTTGGAACACAATAACTTCTGCATAGATTATGGTGGAGACATTTTTCTTTTTTCCTATGATTACAGACATGTGCAGGAACCAGCAACATTAATTACAGCACGCTAGACCACACACAACCTAAACGGTACACTTACACATTTGAGTTTATAAACTAAAAAATACAAAAAGCGCCTCTTTTTTTAGGTGTTTGTTATGACACAGACAACATATACAGATATTTTAAACACTTTCAATAGTGTTTTATGAAAATTCAAAGGGTTTTCTTTAAAATTATACCAACGTTTTGCATTTACACCTCTGCATGAGGATTTTGGAAGCTTTTACATTTGGGAAGGCAAAATCCAGGCGGAAATCCCAAAATAACAGCAAAGTTTAACTGGTTATAGATAAAATATGGTAATTCTTAAGGTTTAATAAAAATAAATAGATTTTTGGAAATCACCAGGTGACCCCCCATTCATTGTCCCCGAGAACCACGGGTCTACAGAACAAACCACTGTTATACTATCATATATATGATTTGCCTAATTACTAGGGATGTAACAATATTGTAAATACCGTCATACCTCAATAATAGGCGCATGACTCAATAAAACTATATTTCTGAGAAAAGTTTGCTCAGGCGAATGAAGCGAACGGGAGGTAGCGGGAACTACAATTCCCATCAGCCCAGGCGTGGCCATCATCCTTTGCGGTCTGTTGTCACTACAGATCCAGTAATGTGGAAATGGAGTGTGCTGCTAGTAGCGGGGAAGAAAAAGAGCTGGAAATGATCGAACCTAAAGCGGGTTTTAAATTGGATGTGTGGAAGCATTTCGGTTTCTTTCTAAAAAGATACGAAAAAGGAGAAAAGGTGACAGACAAAGACAAAAACAGTACGCAGGCACTGCCAGACTGTGGTGAAATATAAGTCGGGGAATACGACTTAAAACAGTCATGGGGACTGCAGAACACAGCACACTTGTTAGATTGATGCAGACATTGACTTGTACCGCAGAGAGACCTCTATCTCACTCATGGCTTGTCCTCTCAAGTGGTGGAAAGACAATGCACAACGTTACCCACTGCTGTCAACCTTGGCTAAATCATATCTCTCTGTCCCAGAAACCTCAGTCCCAAATGAGAGGGGTTTATTCTGTTGCAGGGGACATGCCCAGATCCCAGCTTTCACCAGATTATAGTTATATGATCATTTTCCTTAAAAAAACCACCTCTATCTAAGTGAGTGAGTGATTACATGTTGAATGTGACGAGTTTTCAACAATACTAAATTGAAACTTTATGTTTTATATGGTTTAATAGTTTTTTTGTTATTAAAATTGAAAAATTGAAGTTCCTGTTTGGAAACGTACAGATAGACGGCTGATTTGTATGTCATTGATATGTTCAGTGCTGAGGTAAATAAACACTTTTGGCACTTTTTTCGAGTCTTTTCATTAGTTTTGTTTTTCCTGTAAATTATTTAATAAATACCGAACCGTGCCATTCATACCGAGGTATTATCGTACCGTGAAACTCTAATACCGTTACATCCCTAAAAATTACCCTAACTTTACCCTAATTAACCTAGTTAAGCCTTTAAATGTCACTTTAAGCTGAACAGTAGCATATTGAAGAATATCTACTTATTGGAAATGAGTCATTAAAACTATTATGCTTAGAAATGTGTTGAAAAAGTCTTCTCTCCGTTAAACTGACATGGGGAAAAAAATGAATATAGGGCTAATAATTCTGACTTCAACTGTTTGTAAGGTCTATTTCTCTTATTCTCTCTAATCCTCTCTCTTTATGTACCCTCTTTCTCCAGTCCGACCGGGAGCTATGCATCCTCTGCCGAACTCAGTCGCTGTAGTTCTCAACTGAGCGAAGAATACGCCGAGCGTGAACTGTACGATGAGAACGACTCGTACCACTCCTGCCACTCCTCAGTGTCCTACAGCAAGGGTTCACCAGATTGGGACGAGACCCAGTGTGCGTACAGCGACGAGTGTGCCTACAGTAAAGATGGCGGAGAAGAAGGTGCATTATATGAAGAAGATGATGGTGATCTGTACCCAGAAGAGGTGGACATGTATGAAGGAGAGGAGGACTTCAATTATGAAGAGTTAGACGAGGACCAAGAACTTCCGTTTACACCAACACCAACTAGTACCGCACCAATAACGGATGCTCAAACGTCCGCCAGACCTCCTTTAGAGAAGCAAAACTCGCTTCACCAACAGCAAACACCACCTCAGAATGCAAGCCAACCGACCAATCAGACACAAGCCCAACCACCAATCAAACCTGCAATCCAGCAAAGCCCCGCCCCCCAGCAGCCGCCCCCAAAACAGCAGCCTCCACCACAACAACAATCTTCCGGCCCGATTCCTTCGGTTCAATCCTTCTTCGCTATGGCTAAACCATTGACTGCAGTGTTTGGATTGGGTGGATCTACACCCACACCACCTCCTCCAGCACCAACAACTCAATCCCAACCTCAACCAATGACAACACAATCCCAAACTCCAGTCGCTCCACCTCCAGCTCCATCCACGCAACAGATGCCTCCAGTTACCAACAAATCTTTCGAGATTCCGGTTGAAGATCCGATTATCACTTCTGCACCTGAACCGAAACCTCCAACCCCTGCTGAGGAGAAACCACCCACTGTAGAGCCACCAATGGAGGAGGAAAATCCCATTCAAGAAGACGATTTCCCAATGGAAGAGCCTTTGGTGGAGGAAATTAAGATGGAGAGTCCTCCTCTATCGCCCCCTTATGAAGAGGAGCAACTGATGCCTGAACCTGAAAGGTATTAATATATTGACTTACTTTATTCTAATTGTGCTTAATGTGGTTTAATTTTCAGTCAGTCAGTCCAAGCGCTTCTGCTGAGCTTACTTTCCATTACAAAATCGCCACGATTTCTTGAAAGTCAGTGATCTTCACTATCTGATTGATATATTATATAAAGTGGGTCTCAGACCGGACAAAATATGACAATATGAGTTTTTGTGCTAGCCTAGTCTTTCATCTCGTCTTATGCTTGAACAACTAAATTAATTCTTGAGTCTATTTACTGACTGTATTTTAATTACATTACAGCATCGATGTTGTAAAAAGAACCTTATGAGATTGAAAAAAGTCACATAAACCTTTCACTGGACGTTTATCTTGACTGAAAACACTAGCTGTGCATATATCCCATGGATCAATCATTGCAGAGATGCCCAGAGTAGGGCCTGTGGGCTAAAGTTGACCCATGATAACTTTGGATTTGACCCGCCATGCCATCTGAGAAGAGAGGGAGAACAATGGGCAAGGATGGGTTTTGTTTCTTTGTTTAAATGTTGAGCTACAAAAAATGGAAATCAAATGATTCAATAAACCTTTGTGAATTAATCTGACTTTTTAAAATGTAAATACTGTCACTTGATGGAGTACTATGCAGCTTGACTACTGTATTCAGCATTGAATGCCACTGTGTTTTAAGTGGGATTTCTCATTATTATGGTTTAATTGTAAGAAGTACATTACAAAAAAAAAATGTAATTATCAATATGATTAAATTATTTTTTCTCTTTATTTTTAAGTATTATAAAATTAGGAAATTTCCTTTTATATTTTAATATAATACATATAGGTATATTCACCTCTGGCACACCAGCCTCAATCAAGTTAGGTTTTTGAGTCTATATAAGAAACGGTTTGGGCACCCTTGGATTATGGAATAGTGGATTATAGGGCTGTGCGATTAATCAATTCTAATGTGCATTTTGTTAGTAAAGCTGGTTCTGGAATCAGTAGTAACCTACATAATGTACTTTGGTACTTGGTGCAGCATTTACTACACTGAGTTGTAGTTCATTGTCAAGCCATTAAAATCTCTCATGTGGATCTTTCAATTGTGTAGTGATGTACAGGATTTAGTTACACTTTTATTAGGAATGCACCGAAATGAAAATTCTTGACCAAAACCGAAAATTCTGGATGCACTTGGCCAAAAAATCTAAACCCGGAACCGAAACTGCTTTGTAATAATAATTATTTATTTTAATAAATAATACAATTTAAAAAATCTATTTGAATTTAACTCAATAGCTTAGATTATGCTGAAAAATAAACACAAAGCCAATGAAATAGACACAACATATTGTTAAAAAGTTGCCAAGTCTGCTGGTAAAAACTAGCCTAGAGCACAGTCTGCTGTTACAAATTAGCCTAGAGTGCCATCTGCTGTTACAAATTAGCCTAGAGTGCCATCTGCTGTTAAAAACTAGCCTAGAGCTAGTCTGCTGTTACAAATTAGCTTAGAGCGCCATCTGCTGTTACAAATTTGCCTAGAGCGCCGTCTGCTGTTAAAAACTAGCCTAGAGCGCCGTCTGCTGTTACAAATTAGCCTAGAGCGCCATCTGCTGTTAAAAACTAGCCTAGAGCACCATCTGCTGTTAAAAACTAGCCTAGAGCACCATCTGCTGTTACAAATTAGCCTAGAGCGCCATCTGCTGTTAAAAACTAGCCTAGAGCGACATCTAGAGCGCCATCTGCTGTTACAAATTAGCCTAGAGCGCCGTCTGCAGTTAAAAACTAGCCTAGAGAGCTGTCTGTTGTTAAAAACTAGCCTAGAGTGTTGTCTGCTGTTAAAAACTAACCTAGAGCGCCATCTGCTGTTACAAACTAGCCTAGAGCGCCATCTGCTGTTAAAAACTAGCCTAGAGCCATCTGCTGTTACAAATTAGCCTAGAGCGCCATCTGCTGTTCAAAACTAGCCTAGAGCCATCTGCTGTTACAAATTAGCCTAGAGCACCGTCTGCTGTTAAAAACTAGCCTAGAGCAAAGTCTGCTGTTACAAATTAGCCTAGAGCGCCGTCTGCAGTTAAAAACTAGCCTAGAGCCATCTGCTGTTACAAATTAGCCTAGAGCGCCATCTGCTGTTAAAAACTAGCCTAGAGCCATCTGCTGTTGCAAATTAGCCTAGAGCACCGTCTGCTGTTAAAAACTAGCCTAGAGCAAAGTCTGCTGTTACAAATTAGCCTAGAGCACCGTCTGCTGTTAAAAACTAGCCTAGAGCCATCTGCTGTTACAAATTAGCCTAGAGCGCCGTCTGCAGTTAAAAACTAGCCTAGAGAGCTGTCTGTTGTTAAAAACTAACCTAGAGCGCCGTCTGCTGTTACAAACTAGCTTAGAGCACCATTTGCTATTGCAAACTAGCCTAGAGTGCTATCTGTTGTTTGAGCGCCTTTTTCCATTTAAAAGCCTAAAAACTAGACTTGTGTATGAATAAGCTTTGTTTTAGTGCCCTTGGCTGCTTGTTAGAAGATTATTTTAATATTTGACCTAATTTCAAACAATGCAGCATTAAAGTCAAGATGCTTTATTTACCAGCATTACCATGACAACACAATAGCGCTATTGCAAGCAGCTAGAACGAGCATACTTAGAAATGTCATGTTATTTGAGCAGACTTTGTATTTCTTGTGAGCATGCACCGGTCATGAATAGATAAATATTCAGGTTGATGAATATATCCACAGAGCAAAATAGTGAGCGTTTTTGTTTTTGCTTCGCTGCTTATATGCTTTGGTTACCACCAAACCAACCTTTTCATGGGACAATTAAATGAATGGATTTCATAGCATAGTGCTTTCTGTGTCTGGTGTAAAACTGCTTTGATCCAATTTGTGAATACAGCTGGTGTGTAAGTGAAACCAGCATGCTGAATACTGCTGGGCAATGTGGGACAGCTTAAGCTACATTTAACTAATAATTTTGTGCTTTTATTTTGAATTTTTTGTCCATAAACAAAAAATGCTAATTTCGATCAAAGAAAAAATTTTGTGGTCAAAAATTCAGTGCATCACTAGTTTGTATGAAGATGCATGCAAACCATTTTGAATGTGTGTGCAGTGAGCCGGTGATTGAGGAGCCGAAGGAGCCTGTGGATCCAGCACTCAGAGCTAAAGAGAACTGGCTGAGAATCTTTGAGAAAGTCCGACGACAGCTGCAGGAGGTGAGGACTTCACAACAAACACAAAAACCTCAGAAAATCCACAATAAAGAACTAAAACTAGAGCTGTAAGATTTTCAAAATCCATCTCTATTCTCATTTGAATTGATTCTGAAATCAGTTTTAACAGCAGATGGCGCTGTGTGCTTTACAAAAAGCTGTACGCATCTTGCATCTAATTTCTTATATCATTCAAACCTAAAAGAGTTAGGCAAGGTTTAAGTGCATTGAAATTTTTTTTAAGCGTAAGCGTTTGTGGGGTATGGTTAAAATCTAGCCTAGAGCACCATCTTCTGTACAAACTAGCCTAGAGGGCCATTTACTGTTTAAAAACAAGCCTAGAGCGACATCTGCTGTTAAAAACTAGCCTAGAGCGACATCTGCTGTTAAAAACTAGCCTAGAGCGCCATCAGCTGTTAAAAACTAGACTAGAGCGCCATCTGCTGTTAAAAACTAGCCTAGAGGGCTATTTACTGTTTAAAAACTAGACTAGAGCACCATCTGCTGTTAAAAACTAGCCTAGAGCGACATCTGCTGTTAAAAACTAGCCTAGAGCGCCATCAGCTGTTAAAAACTAGACTAGAGTGCCATCTGCTGTTAAAAACTAGCCTAGAGGGCTATTTCAATTCAATTCAATTCAGCTTTATTTGTATAGCGCTTTTACAATGTAGATTGTGTCAAAGCAGCTTCACATAAATGGTCATAGTAACTGGAACAGTGTGGTTCAGTAACTGGAACAGTGTGGTTCAGGTTTTAGTGTTTAAGTTCAGTTCAGTTCAGTTCAGTTTAGCTCAGTTCAGTGTGATTTATTAGGTCTATTTACTGTTTAAAAACTAGACTAGAGCGCCATCTGCTGTTAAAAACTAGACTAGAGCGCCATCTGCTGTTAAAAACTAGCCTAGAGCGCCATCAGCTGTTAAAAACTAGCCTAGAGCGCCAATCACCGTTAAAACTAGCCTAGAGTGCCATCTGCTGTTATAAAACTAGCCTAGAGCGTCACCTGCTGTTTTAAAACTAGACTAAAGTGTCATCTGCTGTTAAAAACTAGTCTAGAGCGCCATCTGCTGTTAAAAACTAGCCTAGAGTGCCATCTCATGTTAAAACTAGCCTAGAGCGCCATCTGCTGTTATAAAACTAGCCTAGAGCGTGATCTGCTGTTATAAAACTAGCCTAGAGTGTCACCTGCTGTTATAAAACTAGCCTAAAGTGCCATCTGCTGTTAAAAAGTAGCCAAGAGTGCCATATACTGTTACAAAACTGGCCTAGAGTGTCATCCGCTGTTACAAAACTAGGCTAGAGTGCCATCTGCTGTTATAAAACTAGCCTAGAGCGTCACCTGCTGTTTTAAAACTAGACTAAAGTGTCATCTGCTGTTAAAAACTAGTCTAGAGCGCCATCTGCTGTTAAAAACTAGCCTAGAGCGCCATCTCATGTTAAAACTAGCCTAGAGCGCCATCTGCTGTTATAAAACTAGCCTAGAGCGTCATCTGCTGTTATAAAACTAGCCTAGAGCGTCATCTGCTGTTATAAAACTAACCTAGAGTGTCACCTGCTGTCATAAAACTAGCCTAGAGTGCCATCTGCTGTTATAAACCTAGTCTAGAGTGCCATCTGCTGTTAAAAAGTAACCTAGAGGGCCATATACTGTTATAAAACTAGCCAGAGCGTCATCTGCTGTTATAAAACTAGCCTAGAGTGTCACCTGCTGTTATAAAACTAACCTAGAGCGCCATCTGCTGTTATAAAACTAGCCTAGAGTGCCATCTGCTGTTAAAAAGTAACCTAGAGGGCCATATACTGTTATAAAACTAGCCTAGAGTATCATCTACTGTTATAAAACTAGCCTAGAGTGTCACCTGCTGTTATAAAACTAGCCTAGAGTGCCATCTGCTGTTATAAAACTAGCCTAGAGTGCCATCTGCTGTTAAAAAGTAGCCTAGAGTGCCATATACTGTTATAAAACTAGCCAGACCGTCATCTGCTGTTATAAAACTAGCCTAGAGTATCATCTGCTGTTATAAAACTAACCTAGAGCGTCATCTGCTGTTATAAAACTAGCCAGAACGTCATTTGCTGTTATAAAACTAGCCTAGAGTATCATCTACTGTTATAAAACTAGCCTAGAGTGTCATCTGCTGTTACAAAACTAGCCCAGAGCATCATCTGCTTTTACAAAACTAGCCTAGAGCGTCATCTGCTGTTATAAAACTAGCCTAGAGCGCCATCTGCTGTTAAAAAGTAGCCTAGAGTGCCATCTGCTGTTATAAAACTAGCCTAGAGCACCATCTGCTGTTATAAACTAGCCTAGAGCGCCATCTCATGTTAAAACTTGCCTAGAGCGCCTTCTGCTGTTAAACATTAGCTTTGAATGTCGTCTGCTGTTAAATACAGAGCTCTGATTCAAGAAAGAATAGCGATGCATTTGGAAAATCTCAGGATACATGCAAAATGATTTCTCGAATGACTTTCCCCACAAGGTCTAATTAAAACTGCAGCTACAAACTGTTCTGGGTTTATGCACAGTTCATATTGCTTTTGAACGCATGAGTCACTAAATGCCTGATATGAATGCATTCACTAAAGAGGATTGAGCGATTCAGTGCACATTATTTAAGGGATTTGTTTTGTAATCTTACACCTAAATCAAGCCTCCATGATTACATTCACTGTCTCTCATGTTTTGTTCAGACTCGAGCAGAGCTGGGTGGATTACTAAGCAATTGTGATCAGATTACAAGTTACATGAAAACATTTGTAGTCAGTAATTTAATCGATTAGATTACACATTTATCATAACGTAATCTAAAGCTACTATTGGATTACATTTAGATTACTTTTGTGATAACTCTTATTTGATGTCACATATATTGAAATGGGATAATCTTGTACTTATTATTCCAATATATTCATTAATTGCCAGTAGGGCTGGGCGGTATATCGAGTTCTTGTGATATATCGATATGATTTTCTAACACAATGTGGGATTATCCAGTATCGTTCATATTGATGTGGTTTGAGGCCACACGTGCGCATTCTGCACGAACAGACCACTCCAAGGTAGCACGCGAGCTCCACTTGCAATATATTGTGCAGCAACTACAAGTATTTAAGAAAGTAGTTTGATTAAAAGTAATTGATATTTTGGGATCTGATTACATAACTCAAAATACATGTAATCCAGCCAGCTCTCCGAACACATCACACAATAAGAGTAAACCCAGCGAACACAGTTTATTTTTGTGCATCCACATGTTTTTCTGCTTGTACTGCGATGAACACGTGCACTCTAACCGCTGTCATGATTATTTTGCAGTTTGCCACCTCTTCTTTGCTTCTGTTTTTATATGTGACTCTTTATCCTTTGTCTGTTTGTTTCCCGCCGTGTTTTTGTTTGTTTTGTTTGTGGTCTTTCCAGTCTCTTTTCATTGCTTTAGCGATTTGCATGTTCACTCAGATGAGCCCTGATTGGACGAGGCTGTCAGGTGGGTCTGTTGGTGGTTATGTGACGTGCTGTGGTGGTTTTGTGGACGTTTTTGACTTGTGTTGTCCAAAAAAGGCGCTTAGCTGCTCTTTAGGAATTTATTTTAATATTTGACCTATTTTCAAACAGCACAGCATTGCAATAATGAGATCTGGAGTGGTGCTGTGGCACATGATTACAATAATGGCATCAAGAGTGGTGCAGTGATTGATATAATTGGTTGTAAAAAAAGCTAACAGACATGGCACATTTATTAAATATTAACAACAATTCAACTCAGATTCATTCATTTTATTGTTTTGTGGTCTATTTTGTTGTATTATTAATTCAGCTTCAATGCTGTAGGTATTGTGTTTGTTGCAG